GAAGAGAGCCTTCTCCAGAGCCAGGGGTGTTGTATGCCTATAACCGCAGCACTTTGGAAGCTTTAGGCTGAGGAACCATAAGTTAGAGCCCAGTCTGGACAACTTAGTGATTTAGAACCCACCCCCCAAAAAAAAAGAAGGGGCAGGATGTGGTGTGTACATCTGCAATCCCAGAACTTGAGAGACTGAGGCAAGAGGTTCATCCCAAATTCAAGGCCAGCCTGAACTACATAGCAAGACCCTTTCTCCAAAAAATAAAAAACAAAAACCGCCATTAGCTGTATTTTCTGTGGTGTGTTTTCTATCTGTTCTTTTGGTTTTTGATCAAAATCTATCTGCTTGCATACCAGGTTTTTAAAAAAGTAGTACAAACAGCTACATTTTATGGGTTTACAATATGTATAACACACTTCACAAATTGTAGCATTTCAGGACATTTTTTGAATTGCTTATTAATACTACCAACAATGTTAATATATTTTAAAATTAACACATGATATATATAAATTTTATATATTGTTATATAATTTATGTATTATTATATTATACAATTTATATAAACACATGTATATAATTTTAACTTTTTTTACTCTTTCCCCCATTCTTAGATCACCTTCCTATCTCCAGTCTGTCCCCTATTTCCTATCATCTAAGATCTCTAAAGTATAAGATGCCCTTTATGTTTTGAATGCAATTCAAATAACATAAAAGCAATCATTTTAAAGTACAAAATTCACTGGCATTTATAGTGTTTTGCCACTACCTCTTCTACCTAGTTTCAACACATTTCAGCTTCCTAAAAGAAACCAACATTTCCATTCCCCCCACTTCTGCTCACCCCAGACTTGATAAACACCAATTTGCTGTTTCTGTGCATTTACCTATTGTGGACACTTCGCAGCGATCACACAGTATGTGAATTTGACCTGTTCACTTAGAATGATGTTTTTAAGCTCCATCTGCAGAGTAGTGTGTGTCAGTATTTCATTTGTATGACTGAGCAATTCATCCTGTGTATGTTGCATTTTATTTATCCATTCATACACCAATGGACTTGTTCACACCATTTGGCTGTTGTGCGTAGAGTTGCTGTGAACATTGGTGAGTGAATTCTGTGTGTGTGCACTTTTTTCTTGCCAGCAGATACCTAAATGGAATTTCAGGATTATATGGCAATTCTATGCCTTTTCTTGTTTTCTGGGGCTGGGGACTTGTACATACTAGGTGGGTGCTCTACCACTAAGCTACATCCCCAGGCCTATGTCTGTTTTAAGGACGCACCTAAGTGGCTAAGCCGTTTTACATTCCTACTAGCACTGTAAAAGATTCCCACTTCCTGGCATACCCATCAGCACTTGCTATTTTCTGTATTTTTTGATATCTATTTTCATACAGGAGAAGTGGTATCTCAGTGTAGTTTTAAACTGTATTTCTCTAATGGCAATTCTCTTCTTTCAACATTTTATCCTCAGGATTGGAGAAATGCCTTCACTTGGTCTATTAAATTTGTGCTGGGACATTTTAAGATTAAATTTAAGTCTAGGCTGAAGGAAATCTGCCTCCATGTAAATCAGTCCCTTTGATCTTGCAGGTGAAATGAGATGCTATCCTGGAGTGTGAACTGGGTTGGCCCCTGCACTTCCGGATCCTTGTCGTCTACTCCCAAGCCAGACTCCTCCAGACCAGCACCCCAATACATTTGGCTTGTCATTTTTTTCTTCCCCCTCTGAGACTAAAAGGTTTGATGTTTTGGGCATATGAACTTTTTAATTTTTGTCTTTTTTTTTCTTTTTGGTGGAACCGGGGATTGAACTCAGGCCCTTGCGCTTGCCAGGGAAGCGCTTATTCCACTGAGCCATCTCTCCAGCCCCCATAATTTTTGTCCTTCTGAGACAGGGTCTTGCTATGCAGTTCAGGATGGTCTTGAACTCATTTTGTAACCCAGGCTGGCTGGTCAACTCACAATGATCCTCCTGCCTCAGCCTTTTGAATGCTGAGATTAAAAATATGCCTCACCATGCCCAGCCAAGCCTGTTTGTGAAAGCAAAACAACAGCAACATGATTCTCCCTTCAGCTTCAACAGTTTGGCTACATTGTGCATCAGTGTAGAGTTCATTTGTTTATCCTGTTTGGAGTTTCATAACATTTTTGGATGTGTAGATTCAAGAATTTTAGCAAAATTTGAGATTTAAACTTCCAGTTTTAAATGTTGGTATGGTGCTTAGTGGTGCGCCCCAGGGCTCCTATGGGACACCTCAAACAACTTAAGTTTACACTATATTCTAACTGCTGAGGCTCATATCTGCTATGGGAATTCTTCAATGATTTGCTTTTACTTATCACTGTACTTTGTGCTCCTAATTTGTGTGATTTCTTTTACTAGTTTCTCTAAGATTGTAGTTCCTTAGTTTCTTTCAACCTAGTTTATGGATATTTTTATTTGTTGACATTGTTTTCCTGGATTCTTTTAGCTCTTTGATTGTATCTAGAAAATTTTACTTTAAATTTTATCTAGTACTAAGAGTTAGATAGCAATAAGAAATTACATTGTTCTTTTGTACATAGGGTAACTATAGATTAAAAAAGTCCTCTGAGAAGCTGAGGCGGGAGAATCACAAGTTCAAGATCAGCCTACTTATACTGTCCCAAAATGAAAAAGATAAACTGCTGGGGATGTAGCTCAGTGCAAAGGCTGAGTTGCACTCAGTTCAACATCCAGTGCTGACCAAAGCAATCAAATAAGCTTTAGTAGTTACAAACTGATTTAAGCATACAGTATATACATCATGTCTCTCAATATCACATGGCACTACACAACTATGTATACTTTTTATGTTTTTAAGTTGAAAAATGAATTGGTCCTTCAACAAAAATTTCTGGCCTATTATGTCCAGTGTCTGTGTTCCCTTAGATTGTTTCCCTTTATTTCTTTTGTGAATGAGCCATATTTTTTGTGTTAGTTAATGGTCAATCCATGCATTCTTTTTTTTTGGCGGAACCGGGGATTGAACTCAGATCCTTGCGTTTGCCAGTCAAGCGTTTATCCTACTGAGCCATCTCCTCGGCTGTGTTAGTTAATGGTAAATGCTAAACATTTTTATTACAATGTTAATTCTGGAATCACTCTATTTAGGTTTGCTTTTGGTACTTGCTGTGGGCTTTAGTACCTAATGCCAGGGATATAGCTCATTGGCACAGTACCTGCCTGCCAAATGCAAGGGCTTCAGTTTGATTCCCAGTAAAAACAAACAAACAAACAAAAAAAACCCTTTTCCAAACTGTTTCGTAGTCTTTATTTTTTTGATGTATGTGATCTCTAAAGTTTCCTTTTGCTTGTGTTCAGCTAATGTTTTGACAGATTTCCTTGAACAAGTCACTAAAGATAAAACAAGAAAACCCTCCTAGTTTTTACAAATTGGCTGTGTTGGGGAACACCTACAATGCTTAGCCAGGGCCTTTTAAAATCAGTCTCTACCTTTACTTCTGCCTTGCAGCAAGTATGGATACCAGGCACAGGTGGAAACTTGGATCCTCAGGTCCTTTCTACCTGCAGCTCACCGTAAGTAGATACAGCTCTCTAAATCCTAAAATACATGTAGGTGCTTTTGAGTGACCTAATTTTCTTAAGAGATTGTCTCCATTGTTTTTCCTTTGAGGAATTAAGAACTTAATTACCTTAGCTGTAGCTCCAGGTGGCAGTGGGCGCTATCTGTATTTTTAACAAATATTCATGTCTCATAAACTCTTCACTGAATTTAGACTCAATGAAACAAAAGTGTATGCCTTGTGTCCATCTTCCAGTTTCTCACAGAACAACCAATCTTATGAAAATCTTTTCTGGTTCCTAACAATCAAGGACCACTGGAGCCTTCACTGAGAACAGGGGCTGCTGTCTTCTTTTGAGGATTGAGGGCCGGCCAGATAGCTCAGTGGATTAAAGCGCCTAGTTAGGCGGGCGCAGGGACGGGATTTGATACCTAGCCTGCCCTACTGGCCCCACCCCTGGGGGCGCGCTGAGGTGATTGAGACTGGGTGGTGGCGCGCACCTGTAATCCCAGCACTTGGGAGGCTATAAACAGGTGGATCACTGAGTCTGATGTGTGCAGTGAGACCCTGTACTAAATACATAAAAAAAAAAAAAAATGAATAAATAAACGATTATTGTAGTCTTCAACACTGTGAGGGAAACGGGGAAAGGCAAGGTGAGACTACAAAGCTTTCCTGTTTTTAGATGATCTTTTACTTGATGACTGTAAGTCTTTGTTCCCAGAGCTTGGAGGATGACTGAACGTTTTTGCTTGATTGTTTAATGGCTTTACGAAGGAAGAGGTTTTCGAAGTTATTTCCTCTGCCATTTTTGCTGAGGTGACTCTTGGCGGGCTATTTTTTGAGTACCAATATGAAAAGCAGGAGAGCTAATAATTTATGGCCCTAGATGTTAAAATTTCCTGCAGATTTTTTGGTCAGGCATTAGCATTCCTGGAAAACTTTTAAAACAGAATGAGAATTTGAAGCTGGTGTGAGGGTTATGTGCGGATGAAGCTATTTCTCAGTGATCCTGTCCCTATGGGCAGCACGCCCTTAGAGCGCCCTGAAAGCACGGCACGCTTACCAGGCAGGGCCACTGGTCCTTGTTGGCATCTTGAGAGAAGTTTAGAAGCTTACTGCAGACTGCTTAATTATACAAATATTACTGACAGGTAAGAAATTATGGGACAAGAAAGTTAAGAAACCAAATTTATTAATTATAAATTTACAAAGAGGAGATACATTCTCCATCGTTCATACTGATGTTACTATACCCATGGTTTTATTGAAATAATAACTTCTGTAAGGTAAATTTAGTTCTTCAAACTTTTTTTTTTTTTTTTTTTTTTGTTATTTTCCCCAGGTTGGTTTAGAACTCATGGTCCTCCTATTAAGCCTCTGTAGTGATCCGCCTGTTCTTTTTAAAGTTTTTTTTTTCGGTACAGGGGATTGAACTCAGGACCCTGCGCTTGCCAGGCAAGCACTTATTCTGAGCTATTTCCCCAGCCCCTTCAAACATTTTCTAATCCTCCAATAGCGCTGGGTTTTGTTAGCTATCAAAGTAAAATCTAAGATTTATATGCTCAACTTAATGCGGGCACAAAATGTTTTCCTTGCACATATTCCTTCTAAGTGCTCTGGAACTTCGTTTTCACTTCTAAAAATACAGCTGCCAGATTAAAGGCCCCTAGGCTGGTAATTCCAGCTATTTGCAAGGCTAAGACAGGACAATTACAAGTTCAAGGCCAATTTAGACAACTAAATCTCCAAACAAAAGATGAAAAAGTTTGTGAGTAGAACTTAGTTGCACAACACCTTTGGTTTTATGCCCAGCATCATCAAAAGAAAGATAGAGGGAAAGAGCCAGAGAGGCCTTCTAAGGATTAAAATTGAATGTACATAAGCATATTTATTATATACAAAGAACAACAAGAAGTTTCATAAGGCAAACAAAATATAAATTATAGTCATAATTGGCAGTTTCAAACAGTCCTTAAATCACACAACCTCCTAAAACTGAAAGCCTTAAAGTGGGACCACAAAGCCCTGATTCATAGCTCTAGGAAGTTCTATTGTAGTAATAGTCTATGTATTTTGGAGAAGCTGGTTCTTAGAGAACCGTGTGTAGGCTAAGGTGGTTAGCCTCATAAAAGAATGAAATGTTTTTATATCTAGGGAAAAACAAAAATGGAAGATACTTCCAGAGTTGGTGGCACAGGCATTGGGGTAGGAGGATATAGGTTGGCACTCATTAGGTTCAGATTCTAGAACTACAACAAAAAGAAAGTTTTGTGGCCAATAGGAGGAGAGAGAGTGATGTGAGAAGTTGAAGGAGAAAAATCTTGGAGAAAGAAAAAGTAGACTTCACTAAGTCATAGCAAGAAAATCAATGAGCTACTCCTCTGTAAGGCCAAGGGTCAAGGACACTTACCTAAAATAACACAGCTCCCATGTGCTTAGTATTTAATAGTATACAAAGGAAGTACAGGGCTACTTTATATGAAAAGCTTGAAACATATTTACTCAGTGCAAATCCCCAAAAGAAACCCAATTCAATATACAGAGAATTACAGGGATGACAAAATCATGGGTAGATATGAAAGTTAGCTGCATTTACCAGACTGCCTTGATATAGTCTATTCATTTTTAATAGGTACATAAGGCTCATGTTCTGTGGCTTCAGTCTTATTGAGAAACATCTCAAGCCTCAAGTTAACCAAAGATGTTTTTAGGCTCGAAGTGGTAATCTGCTCTTCGTGACAGAGTGCTCTGCAGCTTCTTCCATTTTAGACCTCTCCATCAGGTTAATGCCTCTATTTTCCTTGTCTTTTCCATGTGATTTTTTATGCTGAAGATTTAAAAAAAGGAATTGAGTTAATATAACATTTGATATGCATTAGCGATATATTAATTTCAAAGTTTTCTGGGTTATAAACAAGAAAGCTGCTAAACATCATACCATCAGTGGAAAAAAATTACTCAATTGAAAAATGTCAGTAAGCCAAGTGGTGTGAGGCTGAGGCAGGAGGATCAGCCAAAGCCCAGGCTACAGAGCAAGTTCTTCAAGGTCAGCCTAACTAGTGAAATCCTATCAGAAGCAGCACTTCAACTATAAAATGTGGATAACAATGTCCTACTTAAAGAAATCCTCACTTTTCTAGGTTCATACCTTCAAAATAGTGGGAAAGATGCCAGTCCAGTGTTGCCAGCAGTGTTAAAAAGGTGGATGGAGAGGTCATGGGATTTAACTGCCTGGGCTCAGAGTGAGCAAGGCACTCAGGAAACACAGGGAAATGGTTAATAAAGAGAAAAGCCTCAGGCCTGAGAAATCCCTCAGACAACCTAAGAGACCTCCAGTGCCTCCAGTAGGAGCTGCTTAGCCTTCAAGGCCGACAGGCAGGGACAGGCTCCTGGACCTCCACCTCAGCGGCAGGAGACAGAACTGACTGACCTCAGTATCTGTTCTGAGTAAGCAGAAGCACAAAGGGAGTAGATGTAATAGTCAAAGATTACCAGCCAAGGGTGGGAAGGAAAGCTTTGCTTTATTCATCCCACAGAAAATCCCTTATCAATATTAGACTAGGTATAAATCATAAATTAACAAGCCACTGTAGAGTGACTGGCAATTTTTTGTTTTTCTATAATTAAAGTTTTTCTATGGAGCAGTTAATGACCAAGAGCAGAGGGAGAAGGGATATCTGAAATATCATCAGTACCTGGAAAAATGGAACTCCACCACTGGAAGAACAATCCACGTTGGCATCTGCACGTGGCTGTTGACTCAGAGGTTCTTCAACAGACTGCTCCAGAACTGTCTCTTCTTTATTCATGACCTAAAATAAGAAGATAATATCACAAGAGGCAGTTTTCTTTTTTGAATATGATATGATGAACATTATATAGAAGTTCAACCTCAACAAAATTAGTAGAAAGTTGACAAAGTAATAAAACAATCCCTGCTATGTTTTAATACAGCACATAGCCAGGTATAGTGGTACAGGCCTGTAACCTCAGGAGTTTGAGGCCATCCTGGTCTACATATTCAAGTTGTACAGAATTTTTTTTTTTGCGGAACCAGGGATTGAACTCAGTCCCTTGTGCTTGCCAGGGAAGCACTTATTCTACTGAGCCATCTCATATTCAAGTTCAAGACCAGCCTGCACTACATAGTGAGATAC